TGTAGAAAAAGAGGAGTGATACACACGATAGTGAGGAATGTCATAAACTGATATAGTATTTCTGCAGTGGCCCAGCAAGGAACAGAGATGTTCAGTTTTGCTATCTCTCATCTACTCTGTTGGCCAGCAGTTATGGTTCTGACTTCGTGTTCCTTCAATAGCTGTTGAGTTGGAGAAAATACAAGTAATATTTTGTAGTGTTTTTTTAGACAATGAATTAGTAAATATAACAGTTTCCAAAGATAGCTAATCCCTGTGCTTTTGTGGTTATGTTTCTTGGAGTTTGGAAAAATCCCACCTAAGAACTTAGTTTCTTTGACTGAGATTATGCACTGGGAAATAACTGACAGGTATGATGAGTTTTTTTTTCCCCAGAGCACTGTGAGACTTAGAACTTCAATGCCTGAGTTGAGCTGTCTCATACATATTTAGAAAGTGGACATTTTATTGGACCCTTATTGAGCCAATGAACAGTGAAAAGAACAAAAAGCACTTTGATAGAGAGTATGAGGGCTTCTTAGTTCCTCCTCTGCTGGATTCCTGGTCATTCCTTTTTCTTCATTGGTTGTACTGTCTGTGGTTCACCATTTGTGTTGATCAAAGAGGAGGAGGCACTTGGCATTCTGAAAATGAGAGAACAGTCACTACTTATTGTTTCTCTAAAAAGTAGAATGGTCTTCAGCACACACACACACACCTTTGTTTGCCTTCCTTTGTGTCACACGTGTGGGACCCAAGGCTGGATGCTAATGGCCTTTATCACTGCTAATGTATTTGGGGAAAGACTGGCGCTAGGATCCTGGATGTAGCCTAGTACTTAAGAGAGCATATTTATAGTTCAGGTGATGTGGAATTAGAGGATTGAAATCCTTTCTTAATGTTCTTTAGCCTTGTTTTATTACAGAAAGCCATGGGGCACTCTTGCTAGTTTTGGAAAGCTTTTACAACTAAAAAAAAGCTTGAGAGCTTAGGTCTTGAAACCTCACCAATTGTTTGTGTCCAAAAATCCATCTCATGAAAGTAGCCAGCAGACTCTTCTGAAAACTTTTGAGGTTTTGACAAGGGCACCTGACCAGTCTCACAATTATGAAAACTTTACAGCTGCAATTACATTTAAACCACGTGGTTTTATTGAATGAATGTTAAATTCCCACTGCAGAGAAGAGTGTGAAAGTAAATCCCAGGTGAACAGGCATTATGGATTTTTATAGGAGTTGCAAAGAAATGCCTACTGAGTATTCAGTCCTTCTGACTTTCTGAATATGGCAAAAGATAACCATTCTTTCCTTTCTGCAAATCCAGAGTGCACCTCAAACTCACCAATTTTCCAAAACCTAGTGCTTTATCCATCATTACTGAAAGTTGCTGGTACTGTTTTTATTAATTTTCTCATATTGCAAATGTGGTTCATGATCCAGTCTTTCTTCCTTGGTGGAAAGTTGTCAAAAATAAGTGGTATTATGAATTGCACACCTTCATTAGCTGAGCTTTCTTTTCGCTGCTCATTATCAACCTCTAGTTTCCTTCACAAAATGTCTCTGTTTGTTCAAAAGCCTATTTGTCTGCTGCTCCTGCATTTTGAGATACATTTCAGTTTCACCAACTTTAATTTGAAGGTTAATGCCAGTAAGAGTCCTGGAGTTAAGAAGGACTGTGATAATAGAAGAGCTTTACAGCACTAGGGTATGCTACAAAGAATGTGAAAATGGAAGCAAAGGGGAGATAAGAGTAAGGTGTAATAATTACAGGAGAAGTTAAAAATAAATAGTATTTTATGCAGGCAGGTAGCAGTTAAAAGATTCCAGGATGAAGTGAGTGAGAGTATGTGTGTCTCAGAAGACTTTAAACTGATGGTGTCTGCAGTATAATGACTTTTAGATGTCCTCAAGGTTTGCTGGATGTTCCAAAATTCAGTCCTCTGTTTCTTGCAAACTTATTCCTAAATCTGCTAAATTATTTTCATTTGGTAAATCATGGACGTGGATTGTGTTTCCTTCAGGATTGTTCAAATGGAATCAGTTAATCATTAGGCTACTGAGAAACCTCTTATGTTTGCATTTCTGTGATAGTTACACTAAACAAGACACTCCATATTTAGATTTCTAGGATTATTTGCTTTGCTAGACACAACAAAAACATTAGCATGTGATTCAACTTCAGAGTTGTGAGCTTTGGAAGACTTTCTGCAATGGCTCTCAAATTGTTGAGCTACTATGTAACATTTTAGGATCAGTAAATGTTTCCTAACAGGAAATTTCTCTGCAGGGTTGTGGTTCAAGCCCAGCTGGTATTTGATCATTGCACAGCCACTCACTCAATTGGCTTGGGGGGATGATAGTGTGAAAACTTGTGGGTTTGAGATAATGGCAGTTTAATAGGTAAAGCAAAAGCTGCACTTGTGAGCGAAGCAGAACTAATTCATCCCTCACTTCTCAGGGGCAGGCAGTTGTTCTGCCATCTCCAGAAAAGCAGATCTCCACCATCCACTAATGGTGGCTACATACGCCGAATGTCCCTCCCCTTTCTTCTTTTTTCCCCAGCTTTATATGCTGAGCATGTCACCATATGGCCTGGGGTATTCTTGTGGCCAGCTGGGGTCAGCTGTCATAGCTTTGTCCCCTTCTGGCTTCTTGTGCACCCCCAGCCTCCTCGCTGATGGGGCAGTATGAGATGCAGAAAAACCCTTGACGTAGTAGTGCAAGTGCTGCTCAGCAATAATGAGAACTTTCCTTTGTTACTAACACTGCGTTCAGCACAGATGCAAAACACAGCAATACCAGGTACTATGAGCGTTTAACTCTCTTCCAGCCCAGGCCACTACAACAGTGCAGAATCAGACATTGACTATGGAGCAAAGATTTGTTTTAAACTCTGCAAAGAGGATAAAAAGGTAAGATGTTTTGTAGGTAAGTAAATACTATGAAGTCAGTTAGGAGCCAGAATCCCTGTTGGAGCAGCAGTAGATATTCAGTGATCACTAAGAATGTAGGGCCAATTGTCTTCTCTTGGGTATTTTAAGTATTATTTCTGCTCCACCAGTGGTATTTCAGGTTGTTTTTTCTAGGGACATCTGAGCTGTTAAATATTTACCAAATATACATAAATACAACTGATGTGAGATTATCATTTTGGTCCAAATGGTTTAAATAGAAGGGCTGCTTAGACAGAATCTTGTTATATACCAATACGTTATTTAATGTGTTCAAAACCACCTGTGGGATAAATCAAATTTTCCTAGGTACGGTATTGTAAGATTTCACGTTGCCAGTTTGTGGGCAGCTCTGCAATTCTGAACTGGGCATGAAGTTACAGATAGGAAGGTTTAGGCATTTAAGAGTAGGATCCACAAAGTAAATTATGCAGGAGGAAATCGGAGGAGGGGAAACAGTTCAAGCCTGTTCTTGTTCAGAAACAGACATAAATAGAACTTAGAGCTGTGCTACTCTTCATGCATTTATGTATGAAACTTGTATCAGCTATTTCCTGTGCAACACACATAGAAAGGGAACTAGATATCGCAGTGTACACTATGATCTGCTGTGATGTGGCTGATCTGCCTTCAGATCTCCCTCTGCCCAATTTGGCAGAAGGATTTGAGCAAAAAGAGGAGTTTACAACTGCCACTAGCCCAAGAGCATACTCAGAGATTACTATCTAGGTCTGTCATGTCAAAACTCCTTTCATAGAAAATACTAAGTAATCATTGGCCAGGGAGAAATTACAAGAAGGTGACTATTTTATTTTAGGTTGGCAGTTTAGGTACTGAAGTAGTACTGAAATTTCAGGGTGAAGTTTCTTTGCCAATAAATACTTTAAAATCTGTTCATGGTGTTCTACATCAAATCATTAACTATCCATTGGGGTTGGCATAGGAAATTAAGTGCTATACATGATCAGATGAACCTCTGACTTTGCTACCCCCTCTCCTCACTTAACAAAGGTGACTTAATTTATGCAAAGTGAAGCTGCTTTTCCAAATGAGTTTTGACCTGTTTTGTTGCTGTGTCAGGTTATGAATCCCAGTAGGTCTCTGTTCTGTTGCACAAAGGTGAGGTGTAAGACAAGATACTTTGGGATGAGCAGATAGAAAAGTAAAAGTATGGTAATGCACTCTTACCCATCATAAGGGAAGGAACAAAGGTGACATGCTGATGGGAAAGAGATTTTTTCAAATCTTGTGGCCTTTGTCTAAATGGTTTATTGGTACCCTGTGTGGTACCCTATTTGGTACCCTCTCACAACCCTGAGAGACAATGTTCTATCTTGCTAAATCATCACCACTGAACTGGAAGAGGTGAGCGGATGAAGATGCAAGTGCTCAGCAGATTTAGGGACACACTTGAGCAGTGCCATGTCTGCTGAGTAAGCAAATTCAGGATTATGGGGGAATTGGGAAAATGCCATAGAAACTAGTGCCTCTGAGATGGTACAGAGCAGGTCTTTCCTCTTCTGTGCCAGTCTTTAGTTCATTTTCCAGTTGTCTTTGTTTTACTTTCCTGCCTCTTTTTCCAGCTGTATATTCTGAAACACACAAGCCACATCCTGCCAAGGTCACTCCAGCCGTGTGTGAAACCCACCGCGGAAGATCCCGCCTTTGCCCTGGCCCTGGGGAAGGGCTCCCGTGGGGCCAGCGGGGCCGGGCCGGCAGGGCTTGTGCGGGCAGCACTGAGGGGCTGCGGTGAGCGCAGGCCGGGCCTGCCGGGCGGCACAGCAGTGCCGCGGGGCAGAGGGAGCATCAGATACTGAAACTGATTTTCACGTGGATGTTGGCACACACACCCCAGCTTTCCCCTCAGGCCAGAGCACTGTCCGTGTGGTGTCATTGCAGTGGCAGGGGGAAGCCGTGTTTGGATCCTGAGGGTGATGTGTCCCAGATCCTTTGAGAAGCAGCTTGGGAGCAGTGTGGACCCCACCATGTCCACTGAGAAGGGTGCAGCACTTGGGTCACCAGAGCACTGCACTCTGTCTTTCCCTCTGCATGGGCTGGACCCCCACGCTCCCCAGACATGGCTGCAGGAATCTCAGGTCATCCCTGGGCTCTCTGGCTGCTTCTGTAGAGTGCTCAACTCACCCTTGGTTTCCTAAAATGTGGCTGCAAAGAACTTAGTTTGCTTTTGGGCACCAAAGATGATAAAATAAGCACATTTTCAAAGCAGCTCAGGAAGTTGCAAACCCCCAGGTGCACAGGGCAGGCTGGAGCCGGTGCTGTGAGAGCACCGCAGACCCCCTGGAAGCCTGGCTCGCTTTGTCCAGGCAGAGTCCGGAGCAGAAAGGGCCCAAGGGCAGCGCCCTGCTCCCATCCGTGTCACTGGGCTGCCCGGAGCAGGGAGGTGGAGCTGCCGGGGGCAGAGGGGGCAGCTCCTCTGGTGTCTGTTTAGAGACCAGAGGTGGTCTGGTCTCGTTACAGGCAGCACACACTCACTGTGGTGTGTGTTTAGGGCCCTTTGGCGAGAGCTGCTGCTCTGGGAGGAGGGGGCAGTGAAGTACTCTGAGGCAAGAGCAGCTTTCTGAGCTGAGGCCTCACTCGCACCTGCTGACATGCCACCCCAAACCCGGGCTCAGCAGAGACTTTTGATCAAAGGGGGAAAAGTTGTGAATGATGACCTCTCTGTGGTGGCTGATGTGTATGTGGAAGATGGAGTGGTGCAGCAGGTGGGACCAAACTTAAACCCTGAGCCCTCGACTGGACTCGTTGTGCTGGATGCAACCAACAAGCTGGTGATCCCTGGAGGCATTGATACTCACACACACATGGAGTTCCCTTTCATGGGCAGCAGATCAAAAGATGACTTCTATACTGGAACCAAGGTGGGTGCACATGTGCATGTCTGTGTGTGCATCTGGGCTTTCTCAGAGGGGTGCCTGCTGGTCGTCCAGTATTATTTCTAAAAGAGAGAATAGAATGTGAATCAAGCATGGCCAGTTGTTCTGTCCCTTTGACCAGGACATTGTTGTAAAGCAGTTGGCATACTCAGAGGTCCACCCTCAACCAGTATGTTGTTTGGGCTCCTTCAGGAACTATTGTAATTGCAGGGATCAAGTGAGGCAGGCATTAACCCTGGCTGTCAGCATGCAGACTACGACCTGCTTTGGTACATGCATCAAGCTTCTCTGAGCAAAGGTTAACTAAAGCATTAGTTTAATTCCCCTGTGCTGTTTAAGTACTTCTGTGGCAATCTGATCTTTCTCCTCTGTTAGCATAAGGGAATGCAGACTTTTTTTCTGTCACTTTGGTGCTTACTGTGTTTCTCAATGAAAGTCCACTTCAAATACACTTTATTAAAGTATCTAATTTCTCTTAGTTTTACACTTGGAGTGGGTTTTTCCCCAGCTTTTTAGCTGATCTTATTATATTCCCTAAATATGAATAGTGTATCAATTACTCATATTAGCAGTATTATGCATCATCTCCATGCAATTGCCATAACCAAAATTTTCAAGGCACTTTTCTAAGAGCTTTGTTGCACAGACTGAAATCCTTTGTTCACAGAAATGATCACATTGCCCTACTTGGCTTGTCTTCTAGCCATCACCTTCACAGAGACTGTTATACCCAGTTCCTCTCACTGGAGATCTGGGGTTTACTAAAAGGCAGAAAATAAGTTTTTAAGGTTTTCTGAGTAACTGAGGTACTTATAGAACAGGGAGGCTGCAAAACAGAGGCTGCATATGCAAAACAGGATGTCCAGATAGTCACTTCAGTGCCTACAAGAAAATTCTAGATCCAGCTTAGCAATCAGATGTCAAAACATTTTATTTTGTGGCTATTCTTAACCCAGGTCAAAGTGTGGAAAGTGTTCAGACCTATTCACTGAAGGTTATCATCTGACAAATATTCTGTCAAGAAATTCAGTGAGATAGAGTTGTATTCCAACTATTGTGAAATATGCTACAATGATTAGCTAAGATTTACCCATTCAGTTGAATAAGTAAAGGCACTTTACAGATAGAAGGGGAAAAAGATGTAGGAATAAAAAGAGACTTCGAGTGGAGTTGTGGAACCCACGATGTTTCTTTTTTCTTGAAATCTATAAACTTTCTTTAAATCCTGTTTAACAAACAAGTCAATCAGACTTATTGAAAAATATTTGACAGTTTTAACAACTTTTCCTGGAGAAAATGTTTTGCTCAATTCATTAAATATTATAAATACTTGTGCCACTCTCCAAACTTCTCTTTTTGCAAAATGTACTGACATATTTACAATTATTCTTCTGATTTTGAAGTGAACAGAAGGAAGAAAGAGACTAATTGTTGTAGAAAAAGGTAGAGTAATATGGCATGAGGGACCTGGGTAGATGGGCTGAGTCCAGCAATACAAAGTTTAACAAGTCCTAGTGCAGTGTCCTGCACTTCGGCCACAGCAACCCCCTGCAGCATTACAGGCTGGGGACAGAGTGGCTGGACAGTGCCCAGGGGATCTGGGGGTGCTGGTTGACAACAGAGTGAACATGAGCCAATGTGTGCCAGGTGGCCAAGAAGGCCAGTGGCATCCTGGCCTGTATCAGCAATAGTGTGGCCAGCAGGAGCAGGGAGGTCATTCTTCCACTGTACTGGGCACTGGCGAGGCTGCACCTTGAGTGCTGTCCTTGAGTCCAGTCCTGCGCCCCTCAATTCAGGAAGAGCATTGAGGTGCTCAGATGCATCCAGAGAAGGGCAACAAGGCTGGTGAAGGGTCTGGAGCACAAGCCCTGTGAGGAGCAGCTGAGTGATCTGGGGCTCTTTAGCCTGGAGGAGACTCAGGAGAGACCTCAGCTCTTTCTGCAAATCCTTGAAAGGAGAGTGCGGCCAGGTGGGGCGTGGTCTCCCAGGCAACCACAACAGGACAAGAGTCTTAATCTGTGCCAGGGGAAGTTTAGGCTGGACATTAGGAAAAAATGGGAGTCACCATCTCTGGAAGTGTTTAAAAAAAACTGGATGTGTCATTTAGTACCATGGTTTAGTTGATAAGGTGCTGTTAGGTCATAGGTTGGACTTGATCTCAGAGGTCTTTTTGAACCTAGTTAATTCTGTGATTCTCTGATCCTGTGAATTTGAACTGTGCATATTTTGATCTGAATTGGCCGTTACCATTTTGCAAAGGGACATTGTTCAGAGCAATAGAGAGGATTTCTTTTGCTAATCTGGAAGAAAGCAACAATTTCAAAAAAGGAACTGTGCTTGATCAATTTCTTTTAGTCAAGGATCTGGCATCTGAGTAACTTTTTTCCCCTCCAAAGGCAAGAAAAGTAATAATTCAGTTGTCCATAAAGAAGAGTGGAAATTATTGGTTAAAAAGCAATTTTTGATCACCATTCATCTGTTAAGTAAAGTTGTAGGTTAGTTTATTACTTGACAACATTTTTGTAGAGGATGTAACTTGCTCATTCTATTTAAGACCCTCTATACAGTTTTACTAAATGATATCCTGTTACTAATAAAAATATACTTTTAAACACTTGTAAAATATTTTAGTATTAGTCAAGAACTTGGGGTTTTTCATATTGTATTTTCAAACTCAATGGGTTTTTTTGTTGTTGATGTGTATTTTCCCCTTAATACTTGCCTGTCACTCAGGCTTGTTTTTTCTACTACATAGACTCTGAGGAAGCACATCTCAAGTTGACTGTGCTCTTCTAATGCTCTTCCTCCTCAGTGATTCCATACACTTGAGGAATGTCACTGATGCATGAACACTACAGACACATCTCCCAGTCTTTGATAAGTTTTTGTACATGAAGAGAAGCTTCTCCTTCAGCATGAGAATTTCACTTGGATTCTCTTGAGCATGGTTTTGAGTAGCTTTTTCTCAAAGCAAATGAAATTAATCTCTATAATAATTTTTCAAGTCTGGACTTTACTCAGGGGAAGTCTTCAGTGGCTTTTGGCTTTTCAGTCTATACAGATTAATTGATGTAAGGGAGTTGGAGAGGGTGGGAGGAAATTTGCATTCTTTCTGATTGCTAAATACTAACTTTATTCTTTCCAGGCAGCTATAGCAGGAGGAACCACTATGATCATCGACTTTGCCATCCCTCAGAAAGGTTGTTCTCTTACTGAAGCTTTTGATACATGGAAAAGCTGGGCAGACCCTAAAGTCTGCTGTGATTATTCATTGCACGTGGCAGTTACATGGTGGAGCAACAAGGTAGAAACAAGAGCTGATTTAAATTCCATAAATTTGTGCCACACCTGATTTGAATCAGTCTTCACATGCTAAATAGTGCTTGCTGGTTAGTGGTTTTGTGATTAAAAACAACATTTGAAATAGCCCACACCCTTCTGAGAGTATGTATTTGAAAGTCTGCAGATAGCCTATATCTCTGGATAATACTGCACAAAGTTAAAGGTAGGGATTGTGCAAGACCAAGACCAGGCAGGTCAGAGGAGGAAAGCGGTGTTTACAATAATTTTGTCTTTTGTTGCTTGAACACTTGATATTGTATTATTGTATGCTTCTGATGAGTTTTGGTAGTTTTGGTTTTTGTTTTTTTTTTTTTTAGTAAGGGTATACATGAAAAATATGGTACTTGACTTTCATTTGTAGAAGAAATGAAATTTTTTTCCTGGGTGATTGCAGTAAAACCAATTTAAAGTAAAGCAAGACTGTAGCCAATAGTACACTGAATGTGAAATAATCTTAAAAACCTTTTTTGAATTTACATATGGGAAAATCACCTTTGCTGAGTGAATGTTTGCTGACAGCTTGAAAGCTTTACTGATAAATTAATTTTTCAGGTGCTTGATATCTATTTGAATGAGATCCATGTTTTACAAAATGACTTGGGATTCTCAGAGAAGTATGCATCAGTACACAGATATATTAAGTAAATTCCTATTTTATACATGAGTACTACTTCTAATTTTTAAATTCTAAAATATATGCACAAAAGCCTTCATTCTGCAAACAACATATCTTTGGTATTCTGTGTACTGAGTGCTAAAATAGGCTGACCACAACTTCTAACTTAAGGCAAAGTAATGAAATAAATGATCCAATGAAATTTGACTAACGTGCATTTGAAACAGCCTCAGCAGACAATAGTGGAATTGTACGAAGAATCCAATAAAAATAGGGAGATGTAAATCAATTAAATGTTCTAGTTCATATTAAGAATGTAACTGTTTATAAAGGCCAAGATGAAAAGAAATAGATTGTAGCTGCAAAAGGCCTGGGTGAAAAAGACTGATATGTCATGCCCATCTAATGAGTTCTCATCTCATCAGGATTTGAACTATTAATTAAAAACATACATTCTTTACAATGCCTTCTGTTAGTTGTAGTAAACAGTGAAGAGGATAAATGATATGCCTCTATATTTGTGCCAGAGGAGGGCCTTCTGTCAGGTATTTTTTTGATAATTCCCACTCAAGATGTGCTCCTGTTCCTCCTCTGGATAACTAAAAAAAATTTCCTTGAATATTTTACATATCTTATGCTTCTTGGGCAGATCCATCCAGATTATTAGAGAGAAGATGAAAAATAATATTTTACTTTTTGAAAGGAATAAATCCCATGGAAATTGTAATAGCATTACAGATACATGTCAATTATTGTAACCATCATTTTACTGGGAAGGGAGAGGCAAAGTTATGTAATATATGTTTCTAGCTAACCAGTTGTGTAAGAAACATTTAGACTAAGATATGTGTATTTCTTTCTTGGTGATGTAATGTTTTGCTGGACTTCATAGGCTCTAGCAGAAGCAGAGGATCCTAACAAGTGGTGAATAAAAAAAAAAAAAAAAAAAAAGCAGGCCTGCACTTAACATTTTGTAGCTGTTTTATTTGACAACAAAATGTTTCAAAAGGCTGTGTGTGTTGTGTTTAGAGTAAGGACAAAGCTCTAAAAGATGAAATCTTTTCTGTCACTGTGTCGTTTGGTAGAAGCTGCAGCCCATTGCAATCCAATTTTGAAAATCAGTTTTGCACAAATGTCCATGTTGTGTGAGTTGGACACATTGACTGTAATATTAGAATGGGTGTTTTCAACATCAAGAGGTTTATTTGAAATAAAATTCTGCCTCATTACCTTTCTAAAAAGCATTCCCTCCTGCAATTAGCTTGTGCTTCCAATATTTGCACTGCAGTACTACTCTTTTATATATTTTGAGAATCAATTTGGTGCAAGAAGACATATTTAACGACTTATAGTCTTTATGTGACTTGGGCCATTTGTACTGAACATATGTTTGATGGGTGAGTAAAGGTTCACCAATTATGCTTAAAATTTCTTTATACAAAATTATTAATATGTAAAATATAATTGCTGTATTTTTCAGGTGAAGCAAGAAATGGAAAGTCTTGTTCAAAACAAAGGTGTCAACTCCTTCAAGATGTTTATGGCCTATAAAGATATATACATGGTTAATGATGAGGAGCTATATAAAGCCTTTTCCTGCTGTAAGGAACTTGGGGCAATTGCTCAAGTCCATGCGGAGAATGGGGAACTCATTGCACAGGTGCACATTGACATTTTGTCCATCAAAGTCAGGAATACAGATGGTCCTGACCCTAGGTCTCTCCAGACATAGTCAGCTCATGTAACAGAAGCAAATCCAGAAGTATGGAGAAAGCTCCCCTGGCTGGGCACAGAAGTCTCAACATCCCTCTATACATAATTAGCTTCGCTTCATACTTGCTTCTGCCACCTTAGTGCTGTGTGGAGGCACTGAGAGTTCTGGGGACCTGAGGGTATAACTCCACTGGTGATACTCGACATCAGTGATAACTCGAGGGGCTATAATAGAATAGTTTCTTCAATTATTCCAGTCAGCAGCACCCCAGGCCCCATAACGGAAATTAATTCATTTGTAAATAATCTCAAATCAGCAATACTAAAATTCCTCGAACAGAGTAGAGACAAAACCTTTTGGCCTCTTAAAAGCTTGGAGTTTTCTGGTTATGCATTTTTGTGCTTGGTAAAATTTTTTTCCTTTTTTCCTTCCAATGAGCATCAGTAGCATCATTGGACATCCTTGGCCATGATATTTATGTGTATGTATTGAGAGAGTGGCAGGGTTTTCAAGAGCAGTGATTTAATCCTGCAAGCCAGTGAAGTCTGTTCTTTGAATTTACTTAGGTATTCTGAGACCTGAGTTTATTGAGAGATATGTTAGATTTCAGATAAAACTACAGTAACTTGTTTTGGAAAAAAAAAATCATAACTGCCTAGTTATTTTTTTCCTTGAACTGGTTGCAATGGCTGGTTCAGAATCAATTTGACTGACAGCATGCTCATGACACCATAGATACATTTAACATTTCTTCATGCTTTTGTCTGGTACTCAGGGTGCAAAGAAGATGCTGGCAATGGAAATAACTGGCCCTGAGGGTCATGAACTGTGTCGTCCTGAAGAAGTGGAAGCTGAAGCTACACAAAGAGCAATTACCATAGCAAATGCTGCAAACTGCCCCCTTTATGTAGTCCATGTAATGAGTAAATCTTCAGCAAAGGTGATAAGTAATGCACGAAGAGAAGGTAAAAGTTGTAATTCTTTTCTATTTGGACAATGGCATTGGAGGAAGGGTCACAGAAAACCAAACTCAGCATTAGTGTCTTACTTTTCATGGGTATCATAAGCTTCAGATCATGGGTGAATTTCTTGGAGCAGGATGTCTAAATTGTGTGTGCATGTGTGTGTGTGTTGTTGGGCCCAAGGGGAGCAATGTGGAAGAACAGCAATCAGAATTGAGACTTTCCTTTCTCCCCAGAGCAAACTTTTTTCTCTTTGCACTGTCAAAATACAGGCCAAGGTCAAAGTGATTGCCAGAACATCATTCTTGCATTAAAAATCATGTGACCAGTTCAAGACAATAAATACTCTACTGTTCTCTTGAGTTTGTCTGCAAGACTTTACCAGATACCTTGATGAGAAATTCTATAACAGAGACCACACCATATTTTTGCAAACAGTGCCATGATGACTCCTATTCACTGGGCATTTAAAGTCATGGTGAAGATGACAATGCTTGAAAGCCCTGATTTTCACCAGGGCAGAGTTGCTCAGGTTTGCACTGCAGTGGTCACAAATAACTCTGATCAGCCAAGGGGGGCTGACTTTCCTGTTAGGTAGACTAGAAGCAGCCTGAAGGCCCTTAGGTATTCAGGATGTTTTATCTCCTCATCTATAAGTTCATCCACAGCAGCACGTGGAACAACAGCATTATGAGGAGACATTACCAAGGTGGAAGGAGCAGGACAGGAGCCCAAGATTTGCAGGACCTAAAATTATGTGTCTTCACTATCTTTTTACATCTTTTTTATTATGTTTTTACATCTTTTGCATTTACAGCTTGTTTTCACGTGACGTGATAGGAATTTCATACAGACTTCTCTTTCCCTGTATCTTTTCTTTAGATAATGCCTACACAGGGGGAGTATTTTATTAATATTAAAATGTAGAGAATGAGATCATGATAAATCAACACAGTGTGATGTCATTGTACTAATATAGATGGATATGTTTATGCACAATACGTATGACCATGACTTCTAGTAAGTTTCAGTAGTAATTCAAGTTTGTAAAAGAACTTACCAGAATATGTTTTATTGGCACATCTTTTTGTACTGTGCTATGTTGGATTCCTCCACTAGATGCCAGTGCTGCCAGGAATGTGGATTATATCCATCTGTTGGTTGTACATTCATAGGCATCATGTGAACATTAACTACAAGAAGTTATGACAACAGTGAAATACCCAGATTAAAGATGAAAAACTGGCTGTGAAGACCTAAACCAGTGTTTTATAATACACTGTTCAAGTAAAGAATTTTATGCTGACAGTAAATACTGTAAAACATTGATTAGGCGTGAGTTGTAAGAAGTCTGCAGTGCCAGTTTGATTACTGAGGATAGATGTATGCTTTTCCAATATGTATAAAGAAAAAAATTGGGACAATTGATGCACATTGTGGTGCAAATTGTATTTTATGGCTTCCTGGGCTGCTGCAGTCAGATTCATCAATGCTTCCCTTTGTGCACAGCAACATATAACATATTTTCATAATTCATATTGATCTGCATAGAAGTATACTGTTTAGAAAAAAGAAATCTAAGATTGATTAAGAAATTTCAAAAGATAACTAGAGTATCACAAAGGTAGTTACAAGAATTGTAGTTTTTAATGAGAATGGTTGGTATGAATTTTGGTAATTGGAAATTCACTACTGTTGGTTTCAGTAGAAGTTATTTTTCATTTTTCAGTAAAGAGTGGTAATAAAAAGCAAGGAGTTCCAGACAAAAAAAAAAATATTATCAAAGTATTGTATGAATGACATAAATAAAACTCAAGTATTTTGATGAAAGACATTCAATTTGGACAGGTTAAAAACTACTCTAAATGTGAAAGTTGTGTATACTTTTAAATACTGGAAGCCTCTCAAGCATTTGTAATATTTACTCTAAAACAGTTTATGCATCTTTTCAATATCATTTCCCCGTGTCTTCCTGCTAGTTACAATTGTGAATTTTTTCATGTTCCTTCACTTAGCATGAAATACAAAGTGTGTGTGCATATTCATCCTTGCTCATGTCAGAGGAAGATTGATAACCCTTCCAATTCTATCACTGACCCTCAGAAGGGGAAAAATGGATCTTCAGTGAGTGAAATCTATTTTCTGGTTGACAGTGTGATACCAGAATTGAATTGCAATTGCATTGCTTCTCAAATTCTCTGGGATAATGATTTTCTTAGTCAAAAATGTAAGTCAGAGCCCAACTCTTCCTTGTCACTCATTTAGCTATACAAGGTGAGAGTTAATATTAGAGGCTGAAGGCCAGATAGAGCTTGCTCAAGACAGTAGGTATAATTCTGTTGTCTTCAGTGAGCTATGGCTCAGACCTTGAAGGTTACAATCAGTCATACACAGTGTAAAGGAACAGCAGTTCTTATTCTAGATTAAGCAAATTTAAGAGAAGGAGGTGAGCAGAAGTCTTTCTTCTCTCTTACATGCCAGAGTTCACCATTTATGTCTGATCTGATCTCCAGCAACACCGCTCAAGGAAGGAAACCTCCAGATTATAGCAGCATGTTTTTCATGTACATCTGTAATAGCTGCTGAATATTCAACAGGGAATCCAAAATTCCAATTGTGACTATGTTGGAGAGGGACAGGCTAACTCATGTCCCCATCCTGTTATTTTTGGGGACAACCAGTTTGCCAAAAGCAATGGTTCATCAGTTCTTCACTGAGAGGATCAAAGACAGCACCTCTGTGAGAATAGCAGTGTGTGACAGGTGTGACAGCACTTCTGTCCTTCCTTGTCTCCATGGGCTGTTTCTTCATGCCTGTGCAAAATATGGCCTTGAATCTTGACAGAGTAGATAGAGGAATTGTATTCTTCTACAGAAGGGCAGTTTGATATATTTGTGTGCATGACACTCTCATTCCCTTAAGTGGGAAGACAAAAGGCATTCTCTTCCTGTTATTGTGTAAAATCTTCCCTCCAGTGAGAATAAAAGGCTCAAGAGCTCTCATGTCAGGCAGTGCAGCTCCTTCTCCTTATGAGGATTACCTGATGTGAACTTACTGGGGAAAATAAATGTGGCCTTGTCTCTCACTCCTGCCACCAGAAATGTTTGTGGAGAGAGCAAGGCTAATAAAATGTGATTTAGGGGTACATGATTTATACTGTGTCTCCCTAAAAAATGCTTTCAATCTAAGCTAAATCTCAGCTAAAGCTGGAGACCATAGAATCATAGAGTGGTTTGGGTTGGAAGGGACCTTAAAGATCATCCAGTGTGATGATTAAAATCATGTCCCTTTCCTCATTTAATGTGATGCTATAGCCAGGAAATGGGACTTTATAATGGAAACCTGGAGAGCACAATCTTACTGAAAAAGTAGTTTTTTATAAAAGTTTCTCCTTTCAAAAAAAGTGCATAGAAATAGATGTCCTTGGCCAGATTGTAAGAAGGCTTACAAGATTGCTTCCTACCAACAGTCACGGGTTATGTCTCTTCTCAGTGAGAGGAAAGGCATGCCCATTGCTGAGGGAATACAAACTCTCAAGCTCATTCTGAGCACAGGAATGCAACTAAAAATGTCATCTTTTTAGCTGTCTCATGCAGGACATCTCAGGTCCAGGCTGTATATAGCCTAATGGATGCAATACTATCCCTGATTCAGTAAACCTTGCCTTGCAGTTCTGCTCCTTTCAGAGCACAGCTTGTGAACATCTTTGCCCCATATGACCCTATCTTAAGTGCTTCTAAAACTTCTACTAGAATAAAAACATATGGACCAGTTTTTCAAATCTGTAAACGTTAGTTGATGTTTATCAGTATTGCAACTCTTTTTGAGTTCTGGTAGGTGGTACAAAAATAACAGTTGAATGCTCTTCTTTTTGATAAAGTAATCTATTAAATATAGCTCTGGCTAGCAGGTTAGGGCATCTGAAAAAAAGTCACCAAATACACAGCTGTTTACCAGCTGCTCAGAGGTGTCAGGAACACCAAACAGCAGAACACTTAGTGGTTCCTATTTTAATTGAATGCTGGGAAATATAACAATTTGAAAGACATGATTTATTACTGCATTACTTCACTTCTATGCCTATAGGCAGAAATCAATCAAGCTAGAAGAGCCTTAATGCAGAATTTCCTTGTTGCCAGTTCAGCTGAAAGAGCCTTAGTGCAGAATTTCCTTTTTACTCAGTTTAAAGCAAAATCTTGATATTATTGTATCCTTCAGGCTGGCTAGTCATGCCCAAGTGAAATGCACGAAATTGCACATTCAGCAGAACTGTCCAGAGGTAGTCTGTTGAAACTGCAGTGCTCAGACTCAAAATCACTTGAGGGAATAACTTCTACTTCTCCCCACTCATGGGAACAAAGGGAGTTGGACAGCTCAAACTCTGACTGCAGAAATACTGTCATCAGCTATGGTACATGAGTTAGAATCAGTTCAGTATATCCAACTGGGAGCTTAGAAACTTCTTTTCACTTTCATGTGGTGAAACCATGATGAGAAAATTATTTTCCTATTATTCTCTGAAGAATTTATTGAGCAAAAAAAATGTCTTTCCTTGTAATTTTAATTTTAATAATTTGTAGCTATGGCCTAATGTTTCATAGCTCAGGTTTACTTTGGATGAAAGCTTCTTCAGCTTGTTTAAATGCAGTAGGAGAGGCACAAACCACAATTCCCTTTCCCACCCCTTTCTGGTAGCTTTGATATTGAAAAATATGTCAAAAGACTAATAGGTAAATATGATAGATTGGTTATATATACCAGACCTTCTCTATATACATCTAGATTGGTGGCAGCCTACCCTCAAATACAATATTTGGAGTTGGCCAGGGAAGGCCAAAGGTTCCCGCAAGAGTCAGGGAAGACCTGAGCTAAGGTGAATCAGGTTTCATCCTGATTTCATCCATTCTCCTGGTTTTATCCATGTCTCTTCTTAAGTTTCATCATTCAGCTCTGAATTAAGAAAACACTAATCTGCTCAAATCTCCTCATCAATGAGTGGTCATATGACTTCCATGCATGGCCTCATAGTCAGTGCTTTTGAGTTCCAAAAATGTAAAAAAACAGTAAATAACTGCCAAAGTTGTGTTTTCAAGTCTAAAAAACTGTGGTCTCCCACTGAGCTCAAGTATTAATCTATATAATCTAAAATATGTAAATAAGTGGGACTGAGAACTTAGACTGCTCCAAGCCAATATGAGACAAGCACGCTGAGTTTGTTAGAGTATGCTGAGGTGTTTGTAGCAAATTAGTAATACTAATTGGGAGTCCTTAGTCTGTGGATGAAGTTGTCCTAGGTACTACTTGGAATAAATGTACAATACAGTAACACCAAAGCAGACCTTGACACCATGTAGAGATAAAATTGTATGAAGCTTTTTAGCAAATCTGGTGCCAAAGATTTCAGGAATGGTACTACTGCAATGAGAAATGTATTTTGAAAATAACTGAGCTCCTCAGTAGCTACCTATGCCAGTGCAGGTGTTATAATCCAGTAGCTCACAGCAGTAGCAGTCTAATGTACAGAGAGGGATCTGCAAAACTTTGCTTTTTGTTTTCCCACAGTACCATGACTGCACTCATGACTTGCACTCAGAAAGTCAGAGAACGGTCACAATGTTGTATCACTGAGCAATCACCAGCTGTGGCCTTGCTGGGGCAATGCAGCGATGGTTCCATTAAAACTGTGCCTGAAGTGAAATCTGGCATACAATGCAAAGTACCCACTGTCTGTAGGATCAGGGGAGGGAGAAGGCTCTTGCTGGGACCCAGCAGAGGCTGCATTTGACCAGCCCTAAGTGGCCTCTGGATGGGTGTAGGAGGTCCCAGCTTTTTCTGGTTCTTTAGTGACCATTGCAGTTGGAGACATTTCCACTTGTCAGCTGCAGAACTGCAAAGTGTGTGGACCACTCTCCCAGGGAGTGAAACATCTTGTTCTGATGAGTTTCAAATCCATGTTTCCCAGGAGAAAAAAGTAGTTAAAATATGCTAGCTCTGTCCAAAGGTTAACAGCCAGTCTGGGTTGGTGTTTCCTCTTCTGAGGAAAATAGGACACTGTGCAGCAAGGGATAAAAGATTAAAATTTGGGAGATAACTTTTTAAATTAAGTTATTTATAGTTTTTGATTTGGGAAATATTTCTATACTTTCTGGTTTATGTCTCCTGCCATATAATTATAGCCTGACAATTAAAAGTGCCACCTTGTAAAGTCTGTATGCTGTATATATTAACTTACACTGTTATGTAGTCAGTAATTTCAGAGCACCAAACAGGTGCTACCAAGTATATGAATCTTAAACATAATTAATGCAACTGAGGACTGCTTTCCTTTTGAAATCTCAATCACATTCCTAGTAAACAATGTGTAAAACCCATTATAGTATATCTGTCAACAATTTAATTAAAAAACTTGCCCAAGCAATGTTCTTAGGAGGAAATATATTTGGAAATCACTAGCAGAAAATTCAGAACAAAGATGCTGTGTTATAGCTTAGTTTATTATGCCCTTCCATATGTAGGTGGTTAATTTGAAACACTCATTCAAATTTCAATTCATTGCCACCAAAAACATCCTTAGCAGAGGAAATACAAGTTATGCATTTTTATGTTGTTTGATGATGATAATTTTGCTTTACATTTTTCAGGAAAGGTGGTTTATGGGGAGCCTATTGCTGCAAGTCTTGGCACTGATGGCACCAACTACTGGAATAAAGACTGGGCTCATGCTGCAGCATATGTGATGGGACCCCCACTGAGACCAGATCCATCTACTCCTGGTTTCCTCATGAACTTACTGGCCAAGTAAGCAGATGAACAAACAGTGTTACCCAAATGTACAGCAAATTTTGTCAGGATTACATAATAGCAGGCTGATGCTCTGGAGGTTTTCTAAGTACAGAATGCTACATTATCAGAAAGGAGAAATGGAGGGTGAAATCACAGATGAAAATAATTTTTCTTTTCGTCTTTTATTTCTTTGAACTCTTATGATCTTCTGTCCACATATGATTTTATTCAATAAGCTTTGCCTTGCTCATACCACAGCAAAAATTGTAACATGACCAGGAAGCCAGACTGTAAGTCAGTGGGAAATGTGTAAAAGGTGAGGTCACAGCTAGATTTTCTGGGGTTTGTTGTCAGCTGCCTATTTTGCTTGAAATTCAAATGCTGCATAAAACTAAGCCTGCTAACTTCTGAAGGTAGATACAAGGTATTCACTTCAGATTGTCTACTTCAGAAGGATGTAGAAAAAGAAGTATCTTTAGGATATCTACACTTAACAAGATATGTGGTTTGCTGGTATTTCATTACCAGTAAAGGTTAACTCCACAAAAGGGTTGAATTTGATAGAAGAGCCTGTAAAGGTATTCCTGAACACAGGCTGTTGTGTAGATCCATAGTAATTTCAGAGGTCATATGGAGTGACACAGACTAAAATTGCCCAAAGTGAGGATGAAACCAAGCTGCTTGCTGTAGGCGAAGTGGACAGTCTTCCATTTGTGGGATGTCTTTGACATACCCAGAGTTAGAGTCAGTGTTGGTGCTTGTTTTCTTCTGAGAGATTTCTGAAGAGGAACCTGCTTCATAGGGCAGCTAGCTGTTACTGTGGAGCCAGTCTTGGAGGATGGGACTGAGGACAGGCTGGCAGGGCATATCAGTTTTTTTCTTGAAGGATGGATGTCTTGATCTACCCAGCCTTACAACAGGTTTTCCTCTGTGGTAGTGTCTGGTACGTGCAGTGATTCATAATGAACTTTGTTTCTCTGCAGTGGTGACCTATCTGTGACAGGGACAGACAATTGCACCTTTGACATATGCCAGAAAGCTCTGGGCAAAGATGACTTCACAAAAATCCCTAATGGAGTGAATGGTGTGGAGGATAGGATGTCAGTCATATGGGAAAAAGGCGTTGTAAGTATATCAAAATGTCCAAACATAGAGGTAATTGATTTCTCCCACAAAACATTATCTCTCAACAGGTATTAACCCTTCAGTTTTATCAAGTGTGTTCATCATAAGATAACTCATTCAATTGAAAACTATAACAGTCCTCATTAGCTCTCACTTTATGCTCATGGAAGAAGATTCTTAGTGTTTAAAGTATTTCACTAAAGAATCATTTCTGTTTTTTAGCAGTAACGGATTGCTATTGTTTCAGTGGTACTGAAAGTATATTCCCTTGAAGAATTTTTTTCAACTCGTGACATGACAATAAAAGAGGTGCCTACAGTTTCAACTCTATCAGCTGTGTATTTTTTCCTTTTTGATCTCTCTCCAGCTTAGCCATTGGAGGAATTTGCACAGTGGTGTGCCTGTCAACTTCTAATTTTTGTTTTAAGAAATGCTTCTCTAATGTGATAAATTGAAATGAGCAGCTTCAAGTCCCACTGACTTCAGCTTCTCATACCAACATAAGGTAGTGTCAGAAGGTCAGTGCTTTTCAGACATGTCTGATGAGAGGGTAGTTAAGGAAATCTCCAAAGGAAGCTGCTGAATATTAGGTGTTATGATTGCTCTGGCTAATGCAAAACTGTTATGTTCTGGAAGCTCTAGTTCTATTGAAGTTCTCTTGCAGTAGTGAAGTCACGTTGATAATGCACTGTGAAGCATATTCATTTGTCACAGTATAATTACCTACCTCACACCCTTGGTAAGAATGTGGTTTGTGATATCTTGTTTATCTGTATTTGGGATTCAGCTCCAGTTAGTATGTACGAAACACACACACTTGTGCCTATACTTGGCTGTGGTACAGTTCTAGTGAGATCTCTTATGGTGTAAACAGAAATCTATGTGTGGTTCATATGAAACTGAGGCATGAATGTGTTCATCAGTGCTGCTTTTGAACAGTGCATCCTGTTGGGCAAGATAATTTCTTAAATGTTCTTCAATTGATAAGATCTTCCCTTTTTTTCATTTGTAAAATATTATACAGCTGTGTGAGTTTGTTCTAATAGCTTCCCTCTCTTCTCACACAGCATTAATTAGAATAGCAGTGTTCACCATTTTGATTATACTTCTCAGATGACTGCTCACAGGACACCATAAACATGTTTTTAAGATATTCTGATTCCCAGACTGACCTGTGCACAATATTACTGCCAGAGTAGGTGGCTTTCCAAACTAACAACAGTCATGGAAGCTGGATTAAATTAGTTACAGTGGACAGTCTCAGAACACATGTATATCCATTGTTACTTTCTATTTTGATGAAATGTCACATGAGCAAAAATGGTTTTTATATTATTTGATTGCAGCATTTGATGATCACTGCTATAGTCTGTGTCATTTCTAAAGAAATCTACAAATCAGTTTTCCTATATTACACATTGTACCTTGCCTTGCCGTTATCACCTTCTAGGCTCCCCTTGATACTGTGTCACCATTTTCAAAACGAAAATACTTGAGAAATGTTACATTTCCTGAGGAAATTGCTGAGCAGGACTACAAATTTAAAGCAAGCTAAAACATTTGATTTTAGTTGACCTGAGGTTGGATCCACAGTGTTTGGTTTAAAGTTGTCTTTTTTTTCCTCTTTGCTATGTGATAAAATAATATAAAGTTACTGCATTTAGTGAAAGTACATTGATTATGGGCATCTGAAACAAGTAGTTACTTTTGCTTCTAAATTCTTCTGTATGACATTTAAAAAAAAATATGGATGTCACTCATCCTAATTTTTCAACTAGAAGAACATTTTTTCATTCCTTGTTTAAAAAAGTAGTAAGTTTGCTTTTGTGTACTGTTTTGCAGCACAGTGGAAAAATGGATGAAAACAGATTTGTAGCTGTTACCAGCACAAATGCAGCAAAAATCTTTAACCTTTACCCAAAGAAGGGAAGAATTGCTGTGGGCTCTGATGCTGACATTGTAATTTGGGATCCTAAAGCTACAAGGTATGCATGGGAAGTTGTTCTCCCTACCCACCCCCCTGCCTCCCCTGCTTCCAGCCTTTCTGCAGGAAAAAAGCAGCACAAAGCCTTTGTACAATGATAAGCCTTTAGCTGAGGTTATGGTGGTTTTATATAGCACCTCGTGTGAATTAATTAAAGGGTTTTTTCTCCCACAATAGTGTATGTAAGGAGAGATCTTTGATCTCTAGATGGATTAAAAAGCATTCTCTCTGATTGCTGACCAAGTGCAAAAATTAAAAACTCTTTACATTATGCAACGAGGGCTTGGTATCCTGAGAGTAAAAATAACTCCTTTGGGATTTCAGAGCAACTCTTTTTAGTGCTCGAGTGTGTTTGAATTCCTTCACTGCAAAGGGCAGAGAGAAGAGCCTGCTGCAGTATGACCTGTGACAAACTTGTAGTTTAAACTTAGAGCCACTTAAAACCTGTTCAAAGGTGGATTGAACTTACTTCTGAAGCTCAATCTTTTCATGCTTATGCTTTTTTTCAAGGAGTTTTCTGATTGTGTGCACTATAATTCTGCTAGAATAGAGCTTGTTGCACCGACAGATGCACAAACAGTGTCCTGGTGTCTCACCCTTCATGACTTGATACGTGGTATATTTTTGCTAGAAAGGGCACGAAGTGTCTTTCTAGGAACCTCAACTCACACAGCCTACTGTGCATTACAGCTGATTCCTGTCCTCACACCATCAGCCAATTCCACAGTCAGGACTCTATAAATATTTCAGGAATTATGTCTTAAATCTTGTGCTGGCTCTTATGCCCATCCTGGTCTTGTTTAAACTGCCTAGAAATGGTCTGAGGGCTGTCTGTCACAGAGCCAGGTCTCCTGGGGAGTTGTCTCTCAGCTGAGGTGCCTACGAGCTCTGTGAGTGCATCTCCACAGTTCCAGTGCAGGGTAACTCAGGCCTGCAGGTACTCTAGCAGCCAAGCCCTACCTCTGACCACCCGTGCACACCGCAGCAGCAGGTCAGGAGGTGTTCTGGGATGGTGGTTTTCTTCATGGGCTCAGCTCAGTTGTGACCATACAACTGTGCTTTCACCCTTTGATTTTTGAGAAGAAAAAAGTTGAATACTCTGTTCATGCTGTAGGAAAGTTCTGAAACATAACTGGACATGTCTGATTTTGGTAGCCAAATAGATAACATGCTCCACACCCTCTCCCCAGGCCTAGCTTTACCTTACACAAACAAAAGTCTTTTGACCAATCTTCTTGTTTTTTGATTTTTGATACAGAATTTTCACTCATTTCAGTATATTAATGAGTACCAAAAATGTGTGAAAGTGTGAAGTCTTCTGTGTTTTAAGCTACAACTTTTGAGGATATGGAAGCTGCTATTCAGAAGTCCCACAAAAAAAGTGACAGCACCAGCAAAAGAAGTTTCAGGAGTGACAGCAATCCAAATAAATATAGAGGCTTGCCCAGTGCTTGGTCAGGGAGATTTTCATGTGCATTATGCCTTCTGGCATGTTGAACAGGCATATTTTGAGATACCAGCACTGAGCTATTTCAGGACAGTGTAGCTACGAACTCTGATTTAAAAAAAAACCCGGAAGGATTGTTTTCTGAGCTCTCTTCTGCTGTGCCTGGGGACAAATGAATCTAGAGGGATAGCAGAGTTCTGACAATGTTCTCAAGGTGCTTTGTCATCTCCTGTAATTTTTTTTTTTTTTTTTTTTTTTTTTCTTCTCAAACATTTCTTCTGCTTCCCTTCACTCTCTCCTGGGTGCTCTAATTGCCTTTTCACCCTCTTTCTTTAAGCATTTTTTAAAACATTTAAACTGTATTTTCTTATTGAGCAAGCTTATTTTAAGTGCAGCCAATATTTTTCTTCCTGATCTGGTACTGTTCCGATTGTTAATCCATTTGGGTTTGCTGGGAACAGGCTCTCTGCAGGTACAATTTTGTGAACTATATGAGAAAGTATAAATAAATCTCACTGGAACTTGTCTATTAATTTCACTACAAATCCTGAAGAGGGCATAAACAGACCAGCAGAAAAAAGTGATCTGGCTAATACATTTCAGCCATTTAAGTTGTTACACAAAACCATTTAAGATGTTACACAAAGCATTCCTATGCTTCGTTGATTCTGGGGAGTGATTTTCAGTTTCACAATAGGCTTGTTCCTCTTTCTTGCTAAGTTCTTCCTCTTTTGTGCATGACTTTTTATCTTGTTTGCAACTATAACTCTTGCAAGAGGGAAGTGCAATTTTCCAGTTCTGGTTTGAGGTTGTTTTGCTGTAGTCTTAAAATTCTGATTGATACCACCCTAATACTTAGAAAATTGCTGAAGTATTGCTGTGAGGAATTGATCTTATCACTACCTGTCAGAGGAAGTCTATACAGAAGATTCTAGAGTCATTTAGAAAGGTAGTGCAGTTCTTTCATACAAAAACTTTATCCCCACAAAATCAGCTGCATTTCCCCGCCCACATCATTGCACAATAACGTCAGGTACTATCTGAGCACTCAGGATTTTCCCTTTCTAGGTTACAAAACCCTAGTGAATTCAATGTGATGGCTCTGCAAACTGGGAACAATTGCAATTTAACGTTCTGCTTCCAACACTGCTGCTCTAGCTGAAGCTTTCAAGTGTCAGCTTCATTGACTGGCCTATTTCTGTAACATTTTCTGGTAATTTGTGCAGAAAATACTATATCAACAAATATTTGCTACTGTGTTTAAAAGCATCTGAATATTGATTTTAGCAGGTCTTCATGACAGCAAGCATTTTTGGGAAGAAACATTAAATGTACAAATTGGTTAGAAACTGCATTGCAAAAGATGGGTTGTGAGTCTTGCTAAAGTAGGTGTTTTTGTTAGATTCCTTATACTTATTCCATTCATTAAAAACCACAAAAATACAAAGGGGATCGGTTGGTTTATTGCAAGCCATGTGCTACCAAATATCATATTGCAGACCTCAACACCCTCAGCATCTGTGCATACAGCATTGTTCTGTGAAAGCTTCTTGGGAAAATGCATGTAGGCAGCAAACGTGTACTCACTGTACCATCTCATTTTAATCTGTGCTTTGATCAAGATTGTTCACTGACTCCTTTTGTGGCTGCACACAAATAATATAAAAGCCCCAAGTCTGTGAGACAAAAGCAAATGTAAAGGCTTTTTCAGGAGGCAAAAGCAAAGTAAGGGAAAGGGAATTTCACCCGTCAGCAAGTAAGTGTCCTCTATAGCTGATGCCTTTAGCTGTTGAAAGCAAGCAAGAGTATAAAATCTCTAGGGTTTCTTTCAGAAATGCTCAGCAAGGAATCTAAATACTGCAGTACCAAATTCAAGCAATGAAAAGAGCTGAGCATCCCTTGTAAAGTAGGGGCAGAAGGTCCTAAAGATCTTGTAAAGAGACATTCAGCTCCCAGCAGATTTTAGAGCTCAATTAATTCACTGTAGCCTGTCGGAGCCTTGCAAGTAAACTCTGGATCAGGTCCCAAAGGCAAGATCAAACACCCATAAGGATAAAAAACCTGTCTCAAATAGAGTTTAACTTTCTAAGTCCAGCCACTTCCTTATAACAACATGCAAATTGGGAAGCCACACTCCCCAGGGTTTTTCCCTCATTAAATATAGCTGAGAAGTTAGATACTTCTGATTGCAAAGGCAGAGCTGGCTGTGCAGGTAGCACTATCCTCTTTGGGCTTTGCTGGAGTGGCCCACTTTGGCAGGCCCAGCATGTGCCCCACATGTGCTGGTGGAGCTGGGCTCAAGCCCTGAGCAGGGCAGTGGTGGCTGCAGCCCTAGTACAGCTGCCAGAGTGGGACCCCTGACCTGCAGGAGGTGTGGGAAGCCTTTAGTGGGGACAGAAGGGAGGAAAAAGACAGGTCACTGTGTAATCTACCTGCCTGAAATGACAGAGGAAGATGTGTTTTCTAGTTTCTAGTATTTTTTCATTTTAAGGGAAACAGTGACTGGATGTGAATCAGCAAAATGCTGGAGTTCCCCAGTCTCTGTCATATGTTCCCTCAGTGCCTTTGTTTCCATGCAGATATGTTCATGGCTAGATCTTTTGTATTTCTTAGGTCCAAAATCTGTAGCCTATGTCCATCTCATTTGTAGTCAAGTCTTTAAGTGGGGACGTTACAATGTTTAAGCACTCTGCCAAGTAACTGCCTGTAATTTTTAGTAACACAAGAGAGGAAGAAACCAAGATGTTAGCAGAGGATTAGAATAAATAATGCTGTAACTGTCTTACTCTTTTGATGAATGAGCATAATTTTGAATACTGAATATATGGATGACTGCATCTAATCACAATGAGACAAAATGAAATAATGTGGCATACAAATATCTATGTATAGGACAAGTATGTTCTGGCATTTTCAATAGCCCCATGTTCTTCTGCACAAGTGAAAGCAGTGTGCATGCATGAATGTACACTAATTCACCAGAATCCTGCTAAAGACATCTTATCTCAAATTAAGAAAATGGGGAGAATGAAACAATAGGCACAAATTAAAATATAGGAAATTCTATTTCAGCATGATAAATAATACTGTTTTTCTGTGATAGTGATCAAACACTGGCACAGATTGTCCGTAGAGATTGTTGATCTCCATCTTTGGAGGCACTTAAAACCCAGTCTAACATAGCCCTGAAAAGCCTACTTTGACTGACCCTGATCAGAACAGAGGGCTTGGAATAGATGATCTCCAGAGATGATTCCCAACCTCAGTGACACTGGTTCTGTGACCTGTAACAAGATAAGCCTCTCTGAGAGTGTTTGATGTTTGTTTCCCTAGTAAGTTGAAGTCTCCAAAATATCACTTCTCTTCAGAGAAGCGAATCTCAGAAATGTTACCCAAAAAATTAAATAATTCTTTTTTTCTCCTTACATAATTTTGACTTTTTTCCCCTTGTAAACACTTCTCACTTGTAAAGATATTCTCTAGTCATTGAATAGACTAATTTGTGTTCTCTTGTTGTATGCTTTTCTGCAAGCTATTTTATCATTACTGCTTCTCTTCTGCCCACAGTTTTTCACAAATGTTCACTTCCATTCTTGGAAGCTTGGAACAATTGGTAGGACCAGACTGGATAATATGTTGACAAATGAGCTACTTACCATAATAAAAAAATAATTCTGTTGTCATTGTCTACTCCCCTTAAAATGATGAATTTTAGGAGACATGATTACATGAAATAAATATCCCATTTCTTCAGATAAGTCACTTTCATCTGAAGTTCCCAAACATCAACTTCCTGGCTCTTCTTGCATCTCTTTTTATCTACAAATCTTCTCAATGCATATGACTACTCAAAAGTAATTTTATTGAAGATATTTTTTAAGAGGCTAGGAGCACAACTTTACAAATAGCGGCCTGCGTATTTTTACATATGCAGTTACTGCAATTCCTCAATATAAAGTAGGCCATGAGGTTTCTAATCCACATTATAGGCTTATAGCTAGGATTTTTACATACAGATTTAAAGACTTTCTTATATTTCCTCTATTTTCTTTTTCCTGTTCTTTGCTTTTCTTTTAATAAAACTCTTAATTATCATTATAAATGAGTGGTGACTCAGAAATCACAGAAAGGTGAGAGACTTATTTTTTTCTAGATTTTAGAAAAGTGGGTTAACTATATGTAGAGTTCAAAGGCATCTGTAAATGGTGAGAAGAGGCAACTCACAAACACTGACACTATCCCCAGCAAAGTGGCATTTCTCACCTGCCTCCAGCTCTGAAAGGCTCAGAGATACTGCACTATAAGCATTGAGAGAGGTTACTTACAGCTCAGATACTCACTCCTACATAAACTTGTTTTCTTTGGCAGTTGTCAACAACCAGCTGTTTTCAATTACAGACTTTATTACTATGTTTTAAATTAGGTAATTAATTGATTATAAAATAGGTGACCTCCCTTTACTGAAATGTTGAACAGGCTATTCTTGCCTGAGGGTTGTCATCTACAGCATTCCTTCATATTCCTGTCTCTGAACTTTTTAAAGAAATCTGGGTGAGGTATGTAGCCATTTCCATTGAATGTAGTTAAATTCTTAATTTGCTTACTTATGTGACCTTGAAAATTAAAAGGATGATATTTATGATAGTCAAAGTTTTGGTTCTAGAGCTGATGTAGCTTCATGTCCTATGCATTATGAAAGGTATAAGATCAATCTAATATCTAATGGTTTCCCTTCATCCATGTCCCCCTCCTGCCCAACTGTAACTCACTGTTCACTGTTTCAGTCTCTGAAGCATAGATGTGCTTGTCGAGATTAAAACTGGTCCCTCTAATACCTTAACAAAGTTTTAGCTCATAACTTGAGCTGACTACCTGTATAGTCTTGAAATTAACCCTACCTATTGCTGCACTAGTCTAAGCTGTTGCTCTTTTTCAAGTTTCAAGCTGCAGTCTGTAGTTTATTTAGTTACAATACTCTAGGAGTGGCTGTAAAGTCCTTTCTCACATAGAGCATAAATAAATACAGTACTACTAGTCACTGAATCCTCACACAGTTAGAGCAAATCTGTCAGCTGTTCCCAGACTAAATTACACTTTGACTCTAAATTAGTTGGACAAAATTATGGTGGTGAAAAAGACAATTTCAGAAGCATGTCTTCCTCTTTGGTACTAGAGGAATGGCAATGTATATATTAATAGCTTCAAATTGCTCTGCAAACCAGATGTATCAAAAGCAGCTGAAGTGAACTGCATGGAAACACTGATGTGAGTAAGAACAATCTAGGATTTGATGTGTTAAGAGTATCTTCTTTGTAGAGGAGAATGTTCTTTTAAATGTTGAAACAATTGTTCTGATTTCAGCCTTCATTTGAGAAAGGGTTGTTTGAAACAAGAGCCACTGCAATTTATAACCAGAATTAGATAATTTTACAAGTCTTATTTTAAAAATACAGTACAAATTTTTGAAACCTGGACTCAGAACCTGTTTTCATGATGAGTAACCCCTTATGTCAGGTATCACTTAGGATGCTGGAGGCAGCTGTTAAGTTGTACTCTACTATGGTGGTAGTCCTAGTTTCTTAGATTATTACTGGGTTACAACTGCTTTTGCTGTTAACTGGGAATAAACATCAGAACTTTGCTAAGCTGACTTCTACTGAAATTGGTGATACAGCTATAAACAGTCTTGCATAAGGTTGCTGAATTGTGAGCTTCAGACCCAAACATCTAGTTCTATTTGCATACTTGCTTGCTACCTGAAACTTTTACTGACATTGACAAAGTCAAAGGGTTAAGTCACAAGCAAATTTTGGTGATTTCCATCAGGGAAAATGCACTTCACCTTCAGAAAGGGCAGTGTGATCAACAGCTTGTTTCAACAGAAGAACTGCAAATGAATTCTATTGAGGTTTGTTGCTGAGGCAAGCTCTGGAATTGTGTTTTGTCCTCTTGCAAGGTTTAGCTGTACAAATGGATATTACTTTAAAATGTGCCAACTTTGATTCATTTTGTATCTTTAAATGAAGGACATACCTCTGAGACATAGTTACCTCTAGTGATCCTGTTCTAGCCCATTTAAACAGTTCACATGTTGATGAAGGATTTTGCCTTATTTTTTTGTGTTTCCTCACATTACCCTCTCCATTTTTCTTTTCATGTCCTGATGCTATTGTGCAAGTTGATAGGATATATACGCAGCGAATGCTAAAGATTATTGTATTACAGTAGTTCTTACTTACTGTTCTAGCAATTGGACCCATAAGGGTAATGCAATAAGCTAGAGGAATATGTTCAGAAACTCCTGATAGGGCTATAATAACAACCATGGATAAATTTGTTCAACAGCATTTGATAGGACCAGTGAAAACGAAAGGTTTGAATTTTCCCAATGTAAGGTGATGCTGATATTGGGGTGCAGGCATGCATAAGGTTTCTGTCCAAGGTGTGTTGTATAAGGTAAAGTTTTTACTCCTGTGGGTAGACTGGTCATAGACGGTATTTACGTATATAGCCATTGAAATGTCAGTTACCACCAAGATTTAAATGTAGCCCTTAGCAGAACCAATTAGACTTAGTTCAACAGAATGATATGAAAGGAAACTCAGAATCACTCCATGAATTCTTTTTTCTTCTTTATAAGTACTAATTTTGAATATTTAGTATTATTGTTTTTGAAAATAGCTATACTTCAAGTCAGATACAGGTTTTTGTGTTTTTTCATTTTGATATGGATTGACTAAAGTTTAAAAAAATTCTTCTCCAGCTTGATAAATATTTTAATCTATTAATATTCCATATTTATTTTGACTTTGATAATTCCTTTGCAGACAGATGTAGTCTCTGGAATAATATGAATGCATGTATATGCATTATAGTATATGCATGATAGATTTTTGATTCTGTGAGCACCCATCCTGGAAAAAGCCCGACTTGTAGCCCAAAGCATGAAGCTTCTTTATTTTCAGAAACTATAAATGACAATAAAAATATAAACTCTTTAAATGATATATATAATCTGTAGCTAGGAAGTTAATAAAATAATTTACTGAAATTTAAAGTCTGTTATTACAGTATATAGTAAGTGGCTTAGTAGGGAAAATAGACAATAAAGGAAGTATACACGGCCTGGACTTCCAGATAGTAATGTCAGCTCTAGCATTGGCTCTGCCTTTAAAGTAGCCAGTTGGGGTTGGAAAAATTGTCTAGAAAAATTTAAATAATGTAGAATGAGGTCTATATGTACAAAAAGCAATAATACAATCATTCAAATGAGTACTGAAGTCTGAAGTTCTAATTTACTTAATACCATTGGAGGAAAGGTATGTAGAAGTGTGATGTCATTATTATTTAGCAACCTTAAGATATTTGGACTGTCAGTCATTAAATCAATCGAGCTCACACTAAGCGTTACCAAAAATCATGATCATCTACTGACTTTCCAATGAAATGTTATTTGTGAGACTCAATCTGTGAAACATTGCAGCCATGCTTTTCAAACTTGAAATTGCAAGTCATTCCAAATAAAAGGTCAGAGCATTTTCTGATTGAATTGTGCATAGATATTTGCTTGACAAGGCAAAATAAAATCATGTTATCCAAAGAAAATATTACAACCTGATTTTTTTTCCACTAATCTCTTTTGAAGTGGAAAATTTTACATTTAAAGGCTGCTGAGTTCTGTCCTTTTGACTCCCTCTTCATTCTTTTGAAATGCAATTACTGTTCAATGAAATGTTATTGCGCTATCCTATTTTTACAGCTGCTCTATGATATACTGTACAGGGTTGTAGTTAAATAATGTTGCTATATCAATTTATCAAAATTTTATAATGAAGTCAAATGCAAGAATCATAGTAATTTTTGTGTGTTGTTTTGCAAACACAGGACAATATCTGCAAAGACACATCACCAGGCAAATAACTTCAATATATTTGAAGGAATGGTCTGCCATGGAGTTCCAGTCGTGACAGTTTCAAGAGGCAAAGTGGTTTATGAAGGTGGAGTTTTCAATGTCACAGCAGGAGAAGGCAAATATGTCTCCCGTCCACCATTCCCTCCATATGTCTACAAACGAGTCAGGCAGCGGGAACAGGTTAATTAAACGAATAAATCTCTGTAATGCCTTATACAACATGAGGATAACTAGCTCTTGGGAAAAGAAGTTTGGGGATTCAATGGTAATTTTCCTTACTAATCAAAATATGCCAAGGTGGGAGGAAAGGAAAGTAAGGACTCAAATTTTATTGCTCTTTATTTTACAGAAAAATATCATGGACTAGTTCCTGCTCTTACAGTAGTCTGTCCAGCTTATGAACTAAGCCTGAGTATTTTTAAAAATAATCTTGTCCTACTTGCAATAAAAGTGGACAAAGTATTGCTTCTGAGTAATCTAACTGCTACATTTCATCACTGATTTCACTGAAAATCAGAGAGTCCAAATTTCATATGCAGGAAGAAATATTGCACCAAGGAAGAAATAAAAAATTTTCTAATGCTTTCATGGATTGGATATTTTGAGCTAAACCCTGCAGAGTGTTGAATATTTTGCTGTGTTCCAACAAGAATGTGTTAACACAGAACATCTGCAAAGGGTACTGCAGGGCCAAGCAAGATAGCTCTGTTTAAGCTTTTGTTCTTTTCTATTTTTTAAAGAGAAATATTTCAAATACATAAAGATTGGATTTTCAGTGCCTATTTATTGTGTAAGCATCCATGATGCTTTTGCATCCTTAGTGTACTGTGAATAGGATTTTCGAAAGCACACTGAGTAAGTACATTTTAAAATCACCACCTGCATCAATGGGATTCACTGCAGGGTCTAAAAGCTGAATCCATGTAAAACAAGGCCCAGTAAAATGCCCCCAAAATAATTCTGTATATTTCTTTCTGCTGTTGTCCTGATGGACTGAGAAGGGCATGTAAAAGTGGCTGAATGACGCTTTCCTCCAAAGTCCACAATTTCACAGGATGTAGTGAACTGCCTGCAGGTTCATACACACAATACAGTATCAAAACTAAACTAAGCTGAAATTTATAAGAAATTTTATAATTACACAATTCTGAAAGACTTCCATGAACATAGTAGTTTCCATTTACCATCAAAGCTAGAGAGAATTTTCCCTTAACCCAAATATCAATTGCAGCATGTCTTCAGAAGTGTTTTTTCAACCAGCTCAGCCTCCTGCAGCCAGCAACTGGAATAGTGAGTGATAGATATCTACACAAGAGAGAATTTGCTTTGTTTCATTGATATTTATTTACCTCTCTTACCTGATGTATTAATAACATCACTGGAAAATGGGAATACTCTAACAAATAGAACAATCCATAAAATGAAGTGGAACATGTTGTTCTTTCTTTAATAAATTGTTATAGAATTAGATTGTTACAGTGTTGAGCAGATTTAGCCACCCAGCTCTTGATGAAAGCTGAGATCTGAACAGTTTAATCCCAGTGCAAGACAACTTTTCCAGAGAGAAGTTAGATGAAACTATTGGGATGTATTTCATAGAAAGACAGATTATCATAGGACTTCTATTTCAATTTTGTCCACTTAGAAATTGCAAGAGAAGACAAAATACTGAAAGATTTAAAATATTTTATTGCAGGTATGTCAACCTGTTCCTGTCAAGAGGGCACCATATACAGGCATGGTCTCAGGAACACCAGTCACACGAAAATAACAGGCTCATCCCCCTGTTTTGGCTGTTGCAGGTAACCATCTCCTTTCCTTAGAAAAGACTACTTAATTCTTCTCTGAAATAGCAACAAAAAAAAAAAAAAAAAGGCAAAAAACACCAAAAACAAAACAAACAAAAAAACCCCAAAACAACAACAACAACAACAAAAAACAGGTAGCAGGCTGTCTATCTGGTGGCAGGCTTGTCTGAAATAAACCCTCTCAGAAGCAGAGTTGTCTTGGTGTCTGTAAATTCAACAAAAAGTTCTGGCATCCCAGGCAGGGAGAATCTCATTTGGATTGGAACCTTATTTTAAAAGTTCAGTTGAAAGAAACTGATGAAGCTTAGCTATTAGACTGAGACATGGGTATGAAGGCCCATACAAAACCCGAGTTCAGTTAGCAAGAAGAGTATAAAATGAAGCATGACTGACTCACAAATTTACAAACAGCTTGATGTGAAAAATTAAATTATTTAATGTCCCTGTGTTACAGACAATAACCCCCCAACAAATGTGCTGTTTGGATTAAGCTGACAAATTTGTTTTGCAAAAGCTGCTTTCACAAAAAGAGATGCCTCCAGGAAGACCTTAGAGCAGCCTTTCAGAATCTCAAGCAAGCCTATAAGAGAGCTGGAGAGGGATTTTTTTTTTTTACAAGGGCATGGAATAGTTGGACAAGGTAGAATGGAATTACACTGAAAGAGAGAGTATGTTTAGATTAGATATTAGGAAAAAATTCTTTACTGTCAAGTTGGTAAGGAACTGGAACTGGTTATCCAGAGAATTTGTAGGTGTCCTATCTCTGCAAGTGTTAAAGGCCAAGTTGGATGGGGATCTGAGCACCCTGGTTTAATGGAAGGCATCCCTGACCATGGGAGAGGGGCTGGAACTAGATGACCTTTAAGCTTTCTTCCAACCCACACAATTCTGTGATTCCACGAATAAAGGTGCTGCAAGCAGCGCCAGCAGTGTTTGAATTAGTGTGACCTCATCACTGCTAACAGGAGTAGCCCAGCATCTCCCCTTCCCTCGTCTCCAGTGTTCACAGTGTGTAACTTGGTTATTGACAGTCCTTGTGCATGCCCTGGTCTTGGCAGATCTTTCTGTGAGCAGAAATGAATTAGCTTTGTTTTCTGTGTTAGTTTTCTGTTGCCTTGGTGAGTTGAAGTGTCTCTTATGAGAACCAAGCAAAGATCCATGCAGTGCAGCATATGAGTGGGGTGAGGCAGCTGGGAGCAAAGACTAACAACAGCACCTCGCTCTCCAACTGTTTCACAAGCAGAGGAAATGCTTCAGGAAAAGGTAAAAACTAGACAAGTCCTTCTGCAAGCACAGTCGAGCCATGTTGCTGCTGTGTGCCAACTGCAGTGAAATGTTGTCTGCTACAGCAGAGGAGTTGATTAATATGGGTTGGGGGAACAGTGAGTGACAGGAAGCATGCCAAAATCCAAGCTGAAGTTTTGGGTGCAAATGTGTACCAACAATAAGATCAGCTAGTTTGAGAGATGATTTCCCAACAGATGAAGACAAAGCCCCAGTTTGTACCTCAGATAAAATGAGTCTATTCTTAGTGCTAATTAATATGGGACAGGAACAAACCTGCTGTGGTAGGAGGGTGAAATTATCTTTTCCACATTTCATAGTATCATTTTTTAAAGCTACCTTACAGTGAACCTCATCCAGGGCATCAGTAGCCGCAATAGAGTGCAGTATCCTATTTGTTTTTCTCTGTCCTAAGGGAAAAGCTTTTCTAATAGAGAGGACTAAAGGCTAAAGCTTCAGTTGAGTGAGGGAGCAATAATCATTCTTTCCAGCTCCTAGCACTCCTTCTCCATTATTACCTCTGAGTGACAAATTGCAAAGAATAGATTTTCTTTTGAAAGATGATATTGTATTGTCTTTTTCTTCTCTGTAGATAAAAGAAAATGAAAATGACCTTGCTGCCCCCACCAGCAGTTTCTTCTGGGTCCAGCAATCAATCCACAATCAACTTCTCAAAAGCCAACATGAAACAGTAACCAATACTTGGTTTTCTACATAAAATAGTCATTGAAATTTATCTTTGAAAATACTTTTGCTGTAAGAATTGGAAGTCTTTTTAGAAATTGGAGTAAAAAAAAAAAAAAAAAACCCTACAATTATAATGTGTCAACAGCTCTGTATATTCTTAAAAGTATTGGAATTTTGTTTTGGGGTAGTATTTTTTAATGTTTATCTTTAGAAAGTATCAGCTACCCAATAAAGTCAAAACAATGAACAATGGTGTTTTAGAACATTTTTTTTTAAACTCCTGCTCTATTGGGTCCCAAGAGATAAATCCTAATTCACTAATTTTATATGTTAGGAAGATCTCTGTTGTGCTTAGCAATGCAGTGATTGCTGCATCTGAGAGTAGATGCTGAATTTGATTTTTTTAATTTTTGTCCCTGCCAACTGTACCACCAAGCTTCTTTTGGTGGATTCAGCTATTTCCCTTGTTGAGAAACAAGGAAAAATGGCAAACCTATGCACCATGCTTGTGAACTCACCTACAGTAATAGTTTGCATTCTGGCTTTATGGAGAGACACACACCCATCACCTGGAGGTTTATGAAGTGAGATCACAAGAGAAAAACCATAATGCATTAATATCAAAAAACCGTTTTAACTGCAAATTAGGTTTTTCCCAATGCAACTAATACTTTGCTTTTTGTTGAATAGGATTCCTATTAAAAAAAGCCAAACAATTTTTTTGCTCAATTTATCTAATTTCCAGTTTCAGAGGTTGTAGTACTTTCAGAATGATTCTGCTACCATGTCTAGGCAAATTTTGATTTAGAGAACTGGAATGTTGTTTTAAGTTGCACTTTCATAGGTAATAGCTCTTCTTTTTAAGCAGCTGCCACTGGAAAAAAAATTAAGAGAGTGTCATGGTTTAATCCCAGTTGGCAGCTAAGTACCACACAGACATTTGCTTAGTTTTCCCCCCTCCCTAATTAGGTGGGGAAGAGAATCAGAACGGTAAAAGTTAGAAAACTCTTAGGTTTGGATAAAGCCAGTTTAAATAGCAAAGTAAAAGCCATGCCCACAAGCAAAGCAAAACAAGAAATCTACTCCCCATTGTCAGGCAGGTGTTCAGGCATCTGCAGGAAAGCACTCTGAATATTCCCTCTGCTTCTTCCCCCAATTTTACATGCTGAGCGTGAGCATATGGTCTAGGGTATTCCTGGGGTCAGTTGAGGTAAACTGTCCTGGCTGAGTCCCATCCCATCTCCGTGTGCACGCCCAGCCCTCATGCTGATGGGATGGGATGAGAAACAGAAAAGGTCTTGATGCTGTGTGAGCATTGCTCATGGATAGTGAAAATATCCTTGGGTGCAACAAGCTGTTGAGCTTGTCAGGTTTGTTTTGCCATTGTTTTGCCATTATTAATATTTGTTTTGTACTGGCCCTAGTACTGGAATCTTGCCTCAAGCCACAAGGTGCCAAGTGGCTTTCCTCAATTGCCCTTGAGGAACTGTGTGACATCAAAAGAATTTCAACTGTGCCGTTCAGGCACTCCTACTAATATTGAAACCATCAGATTGCAAATCTCTGTCATCCTTGTTCTTTTTCCCCTTACATGGGTTAGGCTATAATGGTGGGATCTTCCTAGGGGTGTAATTTTGGGACTGCCCAGGTCTCTATTCCAAAACACTAGTAAGGAGTGACAGCAGAGCCAACAGTAGCATGGGAATTTTTAGTAGGCATATAGTTTGGGATTCAATGGGATTACAATTATGTCAGCACAGGTCCTGAACTGGAGCACTAGAAGAAGCACTGACTGGTCTCTCAGTTGTACCTCAGTGCCTAGACCCTGACAAGACTTCTGAATTCATTCTATAATCTCATCCCTGAGCTATCACTTGCTCATTGCATTCTCAAGTTGCTCTGTTCTAAAAATGTTGTGCTAAGAAAACAGATGCCACACACCAGGTTGGAAAGGTGGTTTAGAGATGACTTCTGCAGCCCACACAGTTGTCCTGAGCCTTTCATGACAAAGTAAGACAATAATTGCTTTTCCAGATATTTGAATCCTATCTCATTTAGCCATAATCCTCAGACTTCACCACCACTTACTGAGAAAAAGGTTTGCTTGCTTTGACTCTTCCTTCAGTCTGTTGGTCACTCTGCTAAGAGAGGTGATACTGCTGCATTAAAACCCTTTTTCACTGGAGCAGAGTCTGTGCAGAAGAGCCAAGGAACTGTTTTGTCGAGACTAAAACACAGAACATCCTTTATTTGCTTAGCACTTCTCCTTGGAATGCTACTGGTTTCCATCTCTTTCTTGTATGGAAAGGCTAAAGATTCAAACACTTTGTTAAAGTAAGGAAAAGATTCTGTTAACCATATTTTCATCTCTCTCCCCACCCAGACAGAAATTTGGGATCTTTAATACTCCATTCTCCCTGGTGATGTGGATTCCAGAGGCAGGAGCAGAAAAGCAGTTTGGGAGATCTGATCCCTGATTGCAGAATACTGCTTTCACCCCCATCATTTGCCAGAGAAGGCCTCATAGGGACGGTATGTGCTTATTGCTGGCACTCAGCTCACCACCTGTGAAAGTCACGGCTGTGGTGCACGCACCCACACCTGCAGCTCCTCTCCCTGCAGCCCGGAGCATCGCGGGTGGAGCTCTGCAGAGCAGCAATCCTGGGCCCTGTGGCTGCGCTGGGCCACTGGAGGGCAGGGCAGGTCTGAGGTATCAGCAGTGAAACGAGCAGGAAGGCGCTGCCATGCACTGGGCACCCGTGAAGCTGCCCGCGGTACAAAATCTGTGCCCCTAAAGCCGACAGTAACATCCCTGTTCTCAGGCTTTATTTTATCAGCAGCAGAGAGTGATTCTTTGATCCTTACTGTCCACTTTTCCTATGTAAAACAGAATTAGAGGAAAAGCTTTGATTCTCCATTTATTTTTTAACTGCGTCTCTGGGCTATTTAAACTGCGATGAAAGCAGCGAGTCAATGTGATAATATTGACAGAGCAGTTTTAACCCAGCATCCTTTGACACCCAGCTGCTCACATGAAATGCTGCAACAAAACCAGCACAGAGGAAAAGAAGCCTTTAGCTTGGCTTGGCTTTAGAAGCCAGCCAGGTTTGGGGGGATGGGGTGCTGATAAGGAGAGGTCCATAAACACAGCTGCTGAAAGGAAATGTCCTTGTTTCTCGGGAAGGTCAGGAGCACTAGCATGTCTCTCTGAATTACCTTCACAAGACAATCAGGTCAGCCTTTCACTACTTTTGCAAACCAGATTTGATCCAACTGGAGGATTTTTTACAGTAAATCAAACAGCTCCTCCATGAGTGAAGGATGTTTAAAAAGGAAGTTGAGTTCTGCTGTGAGCTGAGAGAAGGACAGGATGACTGAATAAAAAGCCAAATCCGGACTTCTTAGACTCTTGCTCTTAGTGCTAAATATGTTTCTAACAAGCCCTAGCGAGTAATTTACAAACAAAGCCCAGTAACATGATATTAATAGATCTTAAAAATCTCTATTATACCAACAAATGGATAAAAATTCTTCATTTCAACTGTACCTAAACTCCTGTTGTTCTCAGCAGAAAGAAAAGCATTGTCTGCTTTTATGGATGGGAAAGAATGATCTGGTGAAGGTGAAGAAAACATGCTAAAAGAGGAAAGAAGACTATGAATGACAAAAGAGCCAAAATAAAATGTAGGAAATCTGAGGAGAGGATAGGCAAGAAGAGGAAGAAAAATAATTGTGAGTGGAACACTGTTTTTTTATTGTAACGCATAGACTTTTTTTTAAGAAAAAAGTGTGTTTGAGGGTTATGGTTAGCAGAGAGGCCAAGGAAATAGCTGAACAACTTGCAGAGGAAACAGCTGAAGATAAACAAACCCTAGACTTTCCCTTCTCACATGACAGAAACAAATGGAAGAAAATAAAAAGAAAATAAGGTCTGGAGAGAATGAGAAGTATGTCTCTGTGTAAGTTCAGGGGAGTGACAGACCTGCCTTTTCATCTGTACAGCTAAAGAAAGACACTGGTCAGCTGAAGGAAGAGGTCTAGTACTGTAGGTCATGGTAAGAACTGTCCTACTGCTGAGATAAAACTCAATGTCTTTGAGGCCTAGAAGGTAGACTTGATTTATAAAAATTTTATTTAAAAAGAAAAGGTGCAGAATATGGCGTTTTCCCTGATAAACTAGGCTTAGGGAGATGGGGCGGGTAAACTTATCTCCTTTGCCTGCCATTCAGGTCATGTTCAGCATACAGGTGTGCATGTGTATGATCACAGAAACAAAGTGTGCATTAGTCCACTAAAGTATGTGACTCTCGTCTGAATGTAATGGTAACAATATTTGTCAGGTGGCACCCTTGATGCTGGCACAACATATGCACAAATTAAAACAAGCTTTTGCTGTGCATATCTAGTATTTTTCCTGAAACATGCTGTGTTAAAGTCAATAATCACATAATGGCTGAGGCTATCAGGCAGCTCTAGAGATATCTGCGCCAGCTTTGCTGCTCTGAGATGCTCAGAGCCATGTCTAGTGGCTTTTGAGTATCTCCAACTGTTGTGGTGTGTTTTTTCTTTAAACTGATGTTTGTTCGGTATCTGTTCATTTCCCTCCTCCCTAATCTCCTCCCCTCCCCAGCTGTCAATCTTCCCAAACTCTTCCCTAACCCCCTCCTCTCCAAGTTGTCAATCCTCCCTTTCCCTACCCCGTTCCCTAGAACATTCCCTGTCATTCCTTCTAGCCTCCTCCCCTGCTTCCAGAGCATTCCCTGTCCATTTAGTGAGACTCAACACCCTTTTGGTTACTTTGTGGTATTCCATTCCCCTGTTTCCCCTGATAGGTTTGTGATATATGAGTCCCACCTCACACTCCTCCCCAGCCCTACCCTCACTGGTTGCTGTTCCTAAACCCCTCCTCCTGAGTTGCTGTATAAAACCTTTGTTCACCCTCCCCAGAGGGTCTTGGGGCTCACTGAATAAATCTGTCTTGTTACACCCCGAGTCCCGTGTCACCTCTGTCTGTCCCTGCACCGATAACTGGGACATCAGAGCTCACAGGGGGAGCGGCTGCCCATTCTCTTCCCTCTCGCCGCCCAGCACACCCCTGCTTGGGGTGTCACACGGGAGGAGGACGCCACAATACGAAATCCAGGGATGGAGATTCCATAACCTCTCTGGGCATCCCATTACAGTGTTTGACTACTCCCACAGTAAAAAAGTTTTTAGTCAACTTCCTGTCCTTTATGTTTGGAAGCA